GTTTAACAGTAAAATTCAACACTAAAATTTCTCATACAAAGTGAAGATTTAACTTCAAATTCATCTCTAGGCAAAAATTTTGTACAGTTACGCCCCATAAATTTGACATTATTTCATCTCCAAGCTTCTAAAACCCAAAAGAGAAGTGGTCTCTTTCTTTGATAACCCTAAAAAATCAAATCCATTGCTTATAATATTGTCACTCCCTTTGTTACTGCCGTTGCTACCTCCAAGTCCAACTACATCGCATCTTATTCTTCCGCATCTGCACTCCATGCCGTTTATCATCCCTAAGCTGCACTTGAAACAACGCGACGTTTTTGACTTTCCCTCTCCCACCAAGCCTTGATGACAACGATCAACAACATCAGGAAGACTGATTCTGAGCTCAAGATTCAAATCTGTAAACTTTTCTTCAACTAGAGACTCATTTTTTTCTTCTTTGAACGTAAGCATTGAGATTTTCTCTGGTTTTCCCGGAAAACTTATCCTTTCTTGGAAAGTCTCGACCTTTGGAGTAGAAGCGGAAGAAGTGAAGGAGATATTAATGGTGTTACTCGTAATTGGCTCTAGTTGTGTGGGTTTAGAATCTTGAGAAGCTGATGATTCTTGGATCGGTCTATGAGTCGTTGGATCAATCCCTCTGTTTATAAGCTTTCTTCGAATATGCGTGTTCCAATAGTTCTTGATCTCGTTATCTGTTCTTCCCGGTAATCTCCCGGCAATAAGTGACCATCTATCAAAAACAAGAATATAGTTTATTAGACATCGAAATTCAAGTTTTTTTTTGGTATGAATTATAAAAAAAAAAGGTCCCTTGAGAGACTAGGTATATATTAAAGTAGCTAGTACTCACTTATTGCCAAGAAGGCTATGGAGCTTGATGATGAGCTCATCTTCTTCCTCGGTGAAGTTTCCACGTTTAAGGTCAGGCCGGAGATAGTTGATCCACCGGAGACGGCAGCTTTTGCCACACCGGAGAAGACCGGCGGCTTTGGGGAGAGATCTCCAGCATCCTTCTCCATGAGCTTTAATGTAAGCTACGAGCCTCTCGTCTTCTTCTTTCGTCCATGCTCCTTTGTTTGTGTGAGCTTTCTCACAACATGGTGACCTTCCCATAACTTTTGTTTTGTTTTGTGGTTTAGATCTTATTTGTTTCTTGATGTGTGTTGATATGAATGAAAATCTTATATATAGTAAAGAGGTATGAATGATCAAGTGTGTTATTGTTATTTTATATAAAATTGGGGATTTGCTTTTAGTGAAGGTTTTGGCTAAAAGGGTATAAAGGGATTAAGTTGTTTTTTTGTGTAGTGGAAGAGGATTGAAGCATTTGGTGGGGCACTTGGATTTTGGGTTTGGTTGAAGGTTCAAAGCTTTAGTGTATAGTTTATATAAGGTTTTGACTTAAAGCTAGAGAGGGATTCATACGCATATAGATATTATACAATGCTTCT